CCTGGCCATTTTTTTGGTTGCAGCCATCATTGTTGCTTGGCGGGCCCGGGCTGGGGATTTGAACCCGCCACCTTAGGTGTATGTGGCTGGCGCCTTAGCCGGTTGAGCCACAGGTGCTGAGCCCCAGTTGTCATTGTTATTGAGCTACCCCAGGCTGGGTTCGAACCCTCTGGCTTTGTATGTGGCTGGCACTGTAGCCACTATGCTACAGATGCCAAACCAAGAGCCCACTATTTTAAAAAACCCTTGACTACTTAGTGAATATCTTTGGAAATTCATGGTCTTTTTTTTTTTTTTTTTTTTTTGAGACAGAGTGTCAATTTGTCACCCTGGGTAGAGTGGGTGGCATCATAGCTCACAGCAACCTCAAACTTTTGGCCCAGGTGATCCACTGCCTTAGCCTCCCAAGTAGCTAGGACTATAACCACCACACCTAGCTAATGTTTGTAGTGATAAGAGTCTCATACTTCTGGACATAGCAATCCTCTGGCCTTGGCCTCCCAAAGCATTAGAATTACAGACATCGGCTACTTCATTCAGCCAACTTTCTTTTTTGAGACAGAGTGTCAAGCTGTCACCGTGTGTAGATTTCCATGGAGTCACAGCTCCACAGCAACCTCAAACTCTTGGGCTCAAGTGATTCTCTTGCCTCAGCCTCCCAAGTAGCTGGGACTACAGGTACCCACAATTAACACCTGGCTATTTTTTTTTTTTGGTACAGTTGTCATTGTTGTTCTGGCTGGCCTGGGCTGGTTTGAATCCTCCAACCTCGGTGTATGTGGCTGGTGCCCTACCCAACGAGCTATGGCACTGCTCCAACTTTTTTTTTTTCCTGAGACATAGTCTCACTTTATCACCTTATTTAGAGTGCCCTGGTGTCACAGCTCACAGCAACCTCAAACTCTCGGACTCAAGTGATTCTCTTACCTCAGCCTCCCAAATAGGTAGGACTACAGGCATGTGTGTGGCACAACACCCTGCTATTCTTTTTTTCTTTTAGAGATGAGATCCCGCTGTTGCTCAGTCTGGTGTCGCAAATAATCCACCTGTCTCAGTCTCCCAGAGTGCTTGGATTATAGGCATGAACCACCATGGAGGCTTCAACTGTTTTTATTTAGGAAAATTCAAGGGCGGGGCAGCGCCTATGGCTCAAAGGAGTAGGGCGCCAGCCCCATATACCAGAGGTGATGGGTTCAAACCCAGCCCCGACCAAAAAAAAAAAAAAAAAATTCAAG